AACATGCTAATAAAGTGTCTTCCAGCAAAAATTGACTCTAATTGTAAAAAATTTTCAAACTGGAAAATGAAAGATCACTTTGCAAAAATCTAAGTATACGATTGTTTCATTTTTAACAGATTTGTGATATCAAAGTAAATTTCTAAATGACTCAAACATTCGTAAATAACTTTGATATCGAAATCTATTTCTCGCGATACTTTCTTGTACATTTATTTAAAAAATTTTCATGCATACGTAAAAATTGAAAGTGACTCGATAACTTTAACAAAATGACTCGAAAACTACTGTGAAATCGGAGGGTCATCCGACTTCTATGTACTAATTTTAATTTTATATTGAAAAGAAGTTAAAACGCGATGTACAAGAAAACCCTGACCTGAGCTATTAAATATAATAAACATTTTGTACGAATTTTGCACGATCGTACAGTCGTGGTCACTATGCTCGCTCAAAAATATAAAATACAACCAGTTCCCGTGTCGCTTCGGACCATTCGTCCTACGACATGATGGGAACCGGAGGAATCGTAAAGCATACGACTCACCGTTCGCTGACTTGCACCACTGCGTTCGTTTTGCTGGTAGGCATTGGAGACAGCACGTGGGAGGCATTGTATCTTAGAGGTTGGTTGTCTGCTTGGCTGCATTCAGTAGATTTGGATGTAGCGGTTTGGCAGTTGACCTTCTGTAATCATAAAAAAAATCACAACGATTAATTAACTGTGTTTATCGATTTGCATTTTGATAACATACAAATTTTTTGACTACTACTTATGCAAACATGTAATAAGCTTTTGATTTTGAGATGTACAAACACATAAAGGCATGCAGGAGTCGGTTATAAATTTGCAAAAGTTCATGTCACTACGTGAAATATTGTAAAGTATTTGAAAATGTATGTCAAAAAACTTGGGTAATTACTTTAGAGAGCATGTTAGAACGTTTGCAAAAATACACCGAAACACGTAGGTAACTACACTTTAAACACCAGTAATAGTTTGCAAAAATATTTAAATAATCATTACATAAAGTACACTAAAACCCTAGCAACCGTTTGTAAAAACATTTAAATAACTGTTGCATAAAGTACACTAAAACAACAGTAACAGTTTGTCAAAATATTTAAATAATCATTGCATTAAATCCACTAAAGCACCAGTAACAGTATATCAAAACACTTAAATAACTGTTGCATAAAGTGCACTAATACCCAATAACAATTTGTAAAACCATTTAAACAATCACTCCATAAAATAAATTAAAACACTAAAAAACTAATAAAACATTTAAATAACTGCACCATAAAACACAGTAATATATCCGTATATACATGCACAATCACTTAAGGAAACACATAAGGTCACTGACACTCGCAGAATAACACCATAAAATTTGTTAATACACCCCCACAAATAATAAAAAATATTTGTTAAAACACACTAAACACTTGTTAAAACACATTAGGTAATAGAGGGACAAGCACAATATCGGTTAAGTAAATCCTTGACTCGTACCGGTAAATGTTGACGTCGCGCGCCCGATCTCCTCGACTGCCGAAACACGACTGAACGCGCTTGACCTCCTCAAGTACAACAACCGTTGGTTTACAGCAGACAATTAGACATCGTATAATCCACTAATAGATGCAGTCATTCTGATTGGATGTCGTTTAATTATTCTAACATTAATTTTTTATAATTTTATATTTTTCGATTGTTTATTAACAAATTTATTGTTATAACTATTTACATTTATTATTTTTTTTTTAATTTACTCTTGCAGATATGTTGCGAAATGATTGTTAATTAATACATTACGATGTATTTTATTGTAATTAATACCTTTTTAGTTATTTATTTATAAAATTGTTGTTGTAACTATTAAAATTCGTCGTTTTTATTAACTCACTCTAGCAGATACGTTGCAAAATGATTGATAATTAATATACTACGATATATTTTAGTGCAACTCATTACTATATAAATTAATTATTGTAATTCATTATTTTATAACTTTCTCATATCTTGTAAATTATCTACCAATTATTGTATTCAAATTTATTTTTTTTGAGCGAGCGAGCCGATGGTGAGCGAAGCTCTTATACTTAACTTTACAACTTCTTTGTCCGCGTTTTTTTTATGCACCACTCAACCAATTCTCGTCAAATTTTGCTGGCACATGCGTATGTATAATACATCCAGATGGACATAGAAAAAAAATGTTATATCGGACTTGCCACGGAGGAATAATCACGAAAAAACTGATTCCCAAGACTTCAATATAACAATTGAATTTGCTCGCGTTTGCAAATTTCGTTATTGGGAATATTGCAAAACACCCACCGTTTGATATTCAACACATACATTTTAAAAACACTATTTCCGGATAAACATACAGTTTTATGCATGTATTTTCGTTCAAAAGATACTCTTGGACATATTGAGACTATCTTAAGCCACCCAGGTTTAAGGGGTGAAAAAACTTCACTCTGGGCTGAAATACATTTCTGGAAATTAACGGGCAATTTTAAACTTTGACCCTATGCACAGTAGCAAACCGTTAACAATAGTGCAGTTTTTTTTTTTTTTTTATTGACTTAATAGGTTCAAAATAGTGCATTTTATGAACTAAAAAATTGGCGTCCATCTAGCGGCGAGCGGCGGAACTACGAAAAACTAAAATTTCGATTTTCTCCGAAATTAGGTAATTCTACGTATTTTTGAGGGTCAGAAATTGTTCTGTGACTTCTCCAGAACCTATATAATGCCACAAGAACCTCCTCAGAGCGCTAGCAAAGAAAATAAAAAAATAGGCCAAAACATGGACTAAAAAATTGGCGTCCATCTAGCGGTGAAAGTCGGAATTACAAAAATATATAAATGCGATTTTCTCGAAAATTAGCGAATTTTGAGTACTTCTGAGGGTCAGAAAGTGTTATTTGATCGCATTAGAAGCAAAATAAAGCAATAAGAGTTTCCTGAAATCTTTAATAAAGAAAATAAAAAAAATGTCATTTTATGGAGAAAATTTGTGGCGCCATCTAGCGGCGGAACTGCGAACTAAACTGAAAAAACGTATGACCGTACACGCGTTAAGGAAAAATATAAAAAGTAATATTTCGCAATTTTGACGACGTAGTATGTATCTTTAGACATTTTAAAGCAATTTTTATTCAATAAGTTATTCATTTTCGGCCTATTAAGCCCATAAATCCAATTTTTATCTAACCCCTTTACTGCGTGTTGGGACATACGTTTTTTGAGTTTAGTTCACAGTTCGGCCGCTAGATGGCGCCACAAATTTTCTCCATAAAATGACATTTTTTTTATTTTCTTTATTAAAGCTTTCAGGAAACTCTTATTATTTTATTTTGCTCCTAATGCGATCAAATAACACTTTCTGACCTTCAGAAGTACTCAAAGTACGCTAATTTTCGAGAAAATCGCATTTTTATATTTTTGTAGTTCCAACTTTCACCGCTAGATGGACGCTAATTTCTTAGTCCATGTTTTGGCCTATTTTTTTATTTTCTTTTCTAGCGGTCTGAGGAGGTTCTTGTGGCATTATATAGGTTGTAGAGAGGCCACAGAACAATTTCTGACCCCTGCAGAGGTCACAGATTGATTTCTGACCCTCAGAAGTACATAAAATTCGCTGGTTTTCGAGAAAATCGAAATCTTATTTTTTCGTAGTTCCAACTTTCACCGCTAGATGGACGCCAATTTTTTAGTCCATGTTTTGGCCTATTTTTTCATTTTCTTTTCTAGCGTTCTAAGGAGGTTCTTGTAGCCTTATATAGGTTCTAGAGATGCCACAGAACAATTTCCGACCCTCTGGAATACGTAAAATTGCCTAATTTCAGAGAAAATCGAAATTTTAGTTTTTCTTAATTCCGCCGCTCGCCACTGATAGCGCCACCTGTACCGGTTTGAACCGAATTCTACAAAAATTGATTTTCTGGCTTTATTAGGCATCAAAATGCGTCAAACCCTAATAGAAATTTGTTTCTAAATGCCTGAGGGACCATAGTACGGCGTCAAAGTGCCAAAATATTGCAATTTGCATGCGCAGTAGAATTGACATTGGCGGCTCATTTACATGCCGCAATGCTGACACAAAATAATTAATTACTCATTACCCGAACATTATTTATGAACTTTTATGATCGAACCATGTAAATAATATAGTATATTCCAAATTATTAGAGATTGATATGAAAGTAGATTTGCTCGATTTAAGTTTCCCCCTTGTTTGCAACAATTTAAAGGGACCGTGTTTTCAAAAAAACAAAGGCGCCGACAGAGTGTCGCCACTGATATATTCTGCATCTATATGCATAGGAGGTGCCGTGAACATGCTTGTCTGTTACTAGTAAACACTTTGGAGGAGGTTGTTTTTTTATCCAATATTGTAAAAGATATAAGGAAATATGGCTAATCCAAATTTGACTGATATGACAGAGGAAGATGCAGCTGATCTGCAGTTTCCGAAAGGTATGTTTCATTCCATTTAACGTTTAAACGAAGAGATATGTCGAATATTTATCCTTTCCTAACCTCAAATATGTGACATTTGTCAACGTTTCTTTCGTAAAGATTTGTGTTTAACGATAAACAACACGGCGTAAAAAATCTGAACCTTCTTTGGATTTTGAGCAATATAATAGCTCTTCAAATTTGCGAATATACCTAAATATAATTATTTAAAAGTTTCTGTCAGTTTGTTCAAACTTACTACAAAAGCACGTAAATTTGAAAATTCAAGGAAGGGATAAATGGTTTTGCGGCATGGCCTAAAGTAACGATTATCCTCTTTCAGACTGCTCATTGAGTAGAACAGAAAAGAACGAACATGAAATAGAACTCGAGGTGTCAGTCGTGAAGGATGAAATCATTACTTCAGACCCAACATGCCGCGTGTGCACATCTGCTTTGATGGAGCCATATATTCGTTGTGCAATATGTAGTAATATGGAATTGTGTCCTTCTTGTTTCTCCAATGGGTCCGAAATTGGCAATCACAAAAATGATCACGACTATATTATTATAAAAAATGAGTTTCCACTAATTGATGGAAGTGGGTGGACTGCCAAACAAGAGCTACAGTTTCTAGACGTGTTACAGGAATGTGGTTTTGGCAATTGGGTTGATATGGCAAAAAGAATGCAAGGAAAGTCCGCAGAAGACTGCAAAAATCATTATCTTCAGCATTATATTGATAATCAGACCCTACCAGGGTTGCCAAAAATAGTAGAAACAAAAACAAGTTTATTTTGGTGTGAACCCATTCCTTACTTGTATAAATTACAAGACTTAGAGGAACCTCCTAGGTTCGCATCCAATACCCTTAACTGTAAACTTTTGGCTGGATATAATCCAGCAAGATCAGACTTTGAAGTGAATTTTGATAATCACGCAGAATTATTGATTTCTGACTTAAATTATGATGAGTTTGATACAACTGATAGTAACTATGAATTAGGAAAAGAATTACAAATAGCCATAGTGCAAGCATATAATAACAGACTAAAAGAACGTGTAAGAAGAAGGAAAATTATACGCAATCATGGATTAATAGCATTCAGAAGAACCATATCTTGGTTACAAAGATATGAGTGCACAATAACTAGAACATTGGCAGAAAGATTATTAATTTTCATGCAGTTATTAGGAGGCATAGAGTTTGATTATTTTATGGAAGGTTTACACCGCACTGGTGAACTCAAGAATTACCTCAATAAACTCTTTGACTTCCGCAGTAATGGTTTGAAACACTTTCATAGTGTTCCTATGTTTCAAAAGTTAAGCAAACTTAGACAGGAGAATGAGAAAGAGAGAAAGCAATATTTAAATAATCCTGAATATAGTTGGAAGACTATATTGCCTGGTTGTAGTATTAATTTTAGTAGTACTATACCGAGTACAATATCACAACGAAAAGCGGCACCGCCGCTCGTAATTAAAGGTCTTCCAGGTTACGAAAAACTAAGCCCTGCTGAAAAAGAACTTTGTTCAACCACGCGCATAGTTCCCGCTAATTATCTTGATTTCAAGCAAATTTTAATAGCAGAGAATAAAAAGAGTGGTTGTCTCAGATTGGCACAGGCCAGAGTGCTCCTTAAAATCGATGTAAATAAAACACGTAAAATATACGATTTCCTTACAGAAAAAGGATACATAAATAAACCAAATCAATGACGCACATTTCATTAAAAACTTAAATCGGTGATGGGTAACAGTGTGGTAGATTCGATATATTGCTGCAGAAAGAGATATTAGAAGTGGAAAATTTTTGGATTTGGCAATATAAAGAGATGTTCTATTATGCAGTGTTTTAAAGATTGCAAAGGACCTTGCTCACAGTGTATCTGTAAAAATGATTTTAATCAAATTCGCTGTACCGTATCTTTTATATTTTTGATTTTTGAGATGAGTCCATAGGTCTAGAATTTGATCTAGACCACTTTTCAGGTACAATGTTCCAGGTCCTATGTAAAGTTGAAAATATCTGTATGCATAAATTAAAAAATTTGAAAACTTGAAAATTTTTAAATGCGAAGAATTTAATATAAGATTCGGTATCATTCATTGTATGTATCGTGGTGTCCGTGAGATCTTGTACAGACATTTGACCTACCCATCACTACTCTACATTATTTTTCATAAATAGATATTGTCAGGATTGTGATATTATTTATTAAGATTTATAATTAAGAATTTATAATAATAATTGAACAGACTGAAAGCAATAAAGCGAGTATATAGAATAATGTACAAACGGTAATACAATAAATAATAAATTTATGTGCCTACCAACGTGTACAATGTGTATATAAATACTACTAATATTTTACTCGTGCTTTGTACAATGGACTGTAATGTAAAATTTATTTTGTATTGTATACATACATTGATAAAACGTATTTAAGACTTGTAAATGCTGGTATTTAACGACACAAATATTTAACAATAAAATAAAACACAATGAATGAAATTGTCCTTTATTTAACGAACCGTATTAATCTATTAATAAGTACTCTATGTAAGAATATAATTTGTTTCTCTAGAATTCGAAAACGCCGAGACACTGTTAATCTCGGAAGTTTCGATGCTATTGGAGCACAGAAAAGCGCAAAATGAATCGGCAGAAGAAGAGCAAGAATTTTCCGAAGTTTTTATGAAGAGTTTAACGTACACGAATAGGTTTCGCCGTTTCAAAAATAAAGAAACAATTGCGGCTGTAAGAAAGTAAGCGCATCTCTCGTTCAAAAACTTTTGCAATCAGTAAAAACGTTGCGTACGGTGAATCATATTAAATGTAAAATATCCGTAAGAATTCATCGTAAACGTTTCTTTGTTCTAGCTTACTTATGCAGAAAAAGCTTCATAAATTCGAACTGGCTTCGCTCGCGAATCTTTGCCCAGAAACACCGGAAGAAGCGAAAGCCTTGATTCCTAGTTTAGAAGGACGCTTAGAAGACGAAGAACTTAGGACAATACTGGATGACATCCAAACAAAACGATCCCTACAATATTAAGATAAAACTTATTTTAATTTTTCGCTACTTTTATTTCATTCATTAATAAAAATTTATCATACAGTTGTGATTGTTTCTGGAACCTGCAGAAGATTTTATCGTGTGAGTGTGCTTACATTAAGCGGACGAATGCTCATTCGATTTCAATAAATTTGGTAGAAATTTATTAAAAAAGCCATGATCGTAATCTTTTCTTGTTAATGTAAACACCCCCTTACAGAGCGTGAATCAACGATTTGTTCAGAAATCCGTATAAGAAGCGTGAAACCGAATGTAAATTGAAATTTGATAAGTCAGATACCCTGTAATCTCGGTCGAACAGTTCGCGGTAGCCGGTTATATAATTTCAACGTTTCGAGCCAGAGAAATGCCCGTGCAAGAAGACGGCTAATCTTGCTAACGACAACCGCGCATTACCATCGGATAATTATATATGGTCAAATGTATGCGAGAATGGATTCGTACCAGACCGCTGTTGTTGAGTTAACGTGCGTCTTCGATCATGTCCTCTGTGTTCCAGGACATAAAACGCACGATAAGGAATCAATATCGAAACCATATAATTTCGCGTGAAACCGTACGCGATAATGAACGTTCCGTTTCTTCGAATTCATTTTTTACATTTGATTTGCAGTACACCGAGCGACGAATTTTACCGTTACAGTATTCTTGGACGATCGACATTTAAGCAGAGTCTGCGATAACTCGAGGTCTAAGTTATTAGGAATCGTACGGATTATTAGTAATATTCCAGTTACTATTAAAGGCAAGGTAGAAGGCCGACAAAACGGGAAATTATGGTTGTAGGTATATCGACGCCTGTTGCATTCACGATATGAATTTCAGAGAAGTCAGGCGCCGCACCGTCTTTATGGCCGTATTTAGGCATCTCTGCAGTCATTTCTGTTGTTCATTATCGAATATCATTATACTAATGCAATCTGCTGTGTTCGGCATCGTGTAATCTTGTATGAATAGTTCAAGAAAAGATTAGCTTTGGCTGAGAACAAAGAAGGCAATACAGAAAACTGCGCCATCGACGTTTCGTAATGGCACGGAATGGAGCGATACGCCATCTTTATTGTACCTCTCTCGGTAAAATAGAGAGGGAAAGTCAAATATTTTGGGCCAGAGTTCGTTATACATATATTATTTCATCGTTGAAAACTGAGCGACTTCAACCGTTACAGCAATCACTCGCTTCATGAATAATAAATGTAGCGAATAAAACGGCGCGTTTACAGTCGTTTATCGATCAACTGCGTGTATTGACGAGCGCGTAATTTTCTACCATTTTTCACAGTTAGATTCGTCAGGCGATGAAACAAGATTATCGGTTTATCAATCGCTTATCGAGCCTTTTAATCAACGTCGAAATTGGAATACTGTGTTCAGCTGGTCCGAAGTTCTGCACACTTTTCTAGCCTATTCACTATGCTTGTCAATTTAATTTGATCGTGTGTGCGTGCTATTCAGAAGAGTAACTTCGCCATAGGCGGTGCACGGTAATCGGTCCTTCGATTACTCCCACGAGGAAACCTTTTAAGATAATTACGACGATCGTTAATCGTTCGTAAACCCGAAGAAAATACTGTGCGGTTTATCGCACGAGCCTCGCTAATACGTGCAGAAGTATCGAGATAACAGAACCGAGCCTGATTTGGAAAGACGCGTTATCTGAACGGCTGCAAACTGACCGACCGTGCCGAATACCTCGATGGAAAGATTATCTTTGTATTATATCTTATGGGCGTCGATGATAGCCAGAGACTATGATCGCGGGGAAAAAAATACCGAAGGGACGTCTTCCGATTGAAAAGCTAACGCAAGCGAATAATAGCCTTTAATATCGAGGCGTATACTCTCGAGAGCAATGTAAGCTATCTTTGGGTAACAAGTGTATACCAATATATGCACACGTAATTGAATACATTTTCGAAATATATAAATTGGAACATTATAATATATTTTTGTATTTGGACCTTTATACTTGGCACTTTATAATTGTAAAAATTTCTGAAATTAAAAGTTGAAAATTTTTAAATTTGACAATTTATAAATTTCCCAATTTAAAATATAAAGATTTGAGAAACTGAACAATTGTAATTTAAAAAACTTTCTCAATATCCTCCATCTACGACAAAATTGTTGAGCGAAATGGTGTCCTCGTTCCACCGTCATTTTTCCTAGGGTAAGCCAGATCTGACCCCCAATATACGTTTGTATGGCGTAAGCACGTTCGGCACGAGAATATTACAATGTTATCGAGGTAGTAACGCTGAAATTGTGTAGTATTTTATAGACGATAAAGAGTGCGTAATCGTAAAATGCCAAGCTACACGAAATACAGCTTCAATCTTACATCATATCCACACGGTAGCCTTTATTTACAGACAAAAAGTGTATAGCAAGGCGATTAATGAGAATCTACAAGTGTTTCGAACGTAATAGGCTTTTTTTCTCCAAGATGATCAATGAGAATACGGAACATCGTGGCTGGAATATCGGGAATATTGGATTCCCCGGCGCGAGGATTATAAGGGAGGTAGTCGTAAGGGTTGAAGTAACCATAAGGTATATTCTCTGTATCAGAGCCGCCGCTAGTATTTGCGGAACCCAGGGTAAGATCACCATTTTCGACGTTTTAATTTTATCTGATTGATTTTGATTATATTACAAGAAGCATATGTTTGCTTCTTGTATCAACACGAATTCAACGGAAAGTTTAGCATGGATCCGTATATGATTCATTCGTGCAAATTTTTTAATTTCACAATCTGTCATTTTGATAATCTTTTAATTTATAAACTTTAGAATCTGCGATTTTGAAAATTTGTAAAGTTAGGAATTTATGATATTGAAGATTGTTTAATTTTCCCGATGCGATGGTAATGGCGGTACTGCTCCCTATAGTGTGTGCTCCGTACGTTCCCTTCGACTAACCCTTCTGATATTTCTTGTCTGCGCTCTGGAACGATGTTATTTTCTGGAAATTGTCTGGTAAATGGAAGTCTCGGGATAGTTGCGTTCCAGAGAGCAGAAGCTAGAACAGAGTTACCGAAACGCTCAACAAGACCGTGAACGCCTGTAGACTCTATCGGTCGATGGAATCAATTTGCATAATATGTACATGCGAAAGTGTATATTCCACAATGCTCTCCGATACTGCTGTTACTTTTGCTTGATCATATTCGAGATTGGTGGGGGGTTGTCACGCGTTTATATGCGATGTGATTAAAATTCTCGATAGGATTGTGGTGATACGAAGTAAATGTAGTTCTTTAATGACAAGTATATCGCATTTTCAACAGCCGGGTTTCGATAGAATCGCAATATTGATAGGCGAAGATTTCATTATTCGATCGTTCATCAGACATACACTCTGCTTATCAATTTTTCGTGGAATTGAATTATGTTCGCTTTATTACAATTTATTTGTTTATTTTAAATACAAACAAATGATCGAACTGATAATACACAAATTAAATCCTTTGATATATCTCTTGTATTTCTACAAAGATATTTAATAACAATAATTTTGTTTATTATTTTATATTTCGCTGATTTTACTCATTATTTTACAAAGGGAAAAGTTTTAACTCTCTGTTGCGTAATAAACTAAGACGAAATTGAAACCGATAAAGCATTGTTTCCTTGTTCTTATCGTTCTTACTGTGTAATTAGGTATTCTCGACATTTGCAAATATTTCGTTTCAAGGAAACATTCCTTGATAATCAGATTACAAATGTATTGTACGAGTAATACAATTATTACTATCTCATTTTCAAAAGAACAATGTAAAGTTTAATAATATGGTCCATAAATAAGGAACATAAATATTTTTATTCATAACGATAGATTTTATAATAATATCTATTTTACATCATTTTGTTCATCCATAGAAATACGGTGTGCGCATGCGCAGTTCGTAGATGGAGGAGTCTATTCAAAACTATCATTTTATCAATATTTCAAAAATTGTATCCTAAACATGATTGTATCCTAAATCCCACTTCTATTTACACATTAAAAAGCTTTCTGATCTATATAAATTATGATAAATAATTATACAGAAATACAATTTCTCGATACACCAGCGACTAAAATGTATTTCGTAAGATTTTCGAAATTGTTGTTCACGTGCTATTTATATTGGAATTTCTTTTCGCACAATCGATACGGGAAATTAAAATGGTTACTCTCGTTTGGGTGGCAACTTTCAGAAGTTGAAAAAATAGTATTTTTTAGGTAAACACGAATCCCGGTGCATCGTCCCTGCAAGGTAATTTGCAATCGAGCGAGGGCGCGAGTTTCGTTCGCGGTCGGCCGGGCGTCGTGGTTGGTTCGGCCGCGGAGTCCGAACGTGACCGATCGTGCGCGGAGACGGCCGAACGCGCGAAGCGCCAGCGCCGAGCCTGAACGGAGCGCTCCGGTCAAAATATATTCAGTATATTCTAAACAAGCGCGCGACGTGCTGTCACGTTTAGTGTGTGCGCGCGCGCGAACCCGTGTCTCGCCGGACGGACGGTTCAAATTCTCAACGGTGACTTTGAATCAGTGTTACGTTTATTCGAAGCCAGTGAATCAGTTCTAAGCTCGTCCGTGAACCGACGACGAGTCTCGCGTGTTAATCCGTGACGAGAAACAGCGCGGCAGAAGATACGATACGAGAGAAGAGAGACTGGCAACTGTGAGTTCGGTATTATACGCGCTCGCGATCCGTTCGTCACTTTCATTCTCTCTCTTTTCGTTCTCTATCCGTTTACTTCTGTCTCGTTCTCCCCTTTTCCTTTTTCTTCGTTCGTCTTTCGTACAGCTCCCTCCGGTCGTTTTCTCTCTCTCGTTCCTTCTCTTTCTTCTTCGCTTCGACGTCGTCTCGTGGGGTCAGTGCCTGCTCGATCGGATCCTGAGCAGGAACACACCGGAGGAGGAGGACGATCTCCCTCGTTACGAGACTTCGAACCATACACGCGCGCTACACGCACTCCGACACGAAACGGAAAAAGTAAAAAAAAACTGTTTTCTTCTCGCGAAGAGATTTTCTCGTTGACCCGGTGAAAACTGTACGAGTGAGATTCGGAGAGAATAAATCGCGGACCATGGTGAGGACCCGTCGACGACGTGTCATCGACGGCCAGTGAAGCGAATCGTCGCCGAAGCAACGAAACGTTTTCGTACATACCTCGGCAAGAAGCTACGATATGTATTTCTCGTGTGCGGTGATCGACGTGTGAGACTCTCGTATCTCGTATACACTCTCCCAAGTGCAGGAAACTCGTGCTCCTTATCTCCGGCTACTTTTCTCGCGTTTCGTTTTTCTATTCCTTTCCTTTCCCTCTTTCTCGCTTGTTCTTTCCGTCTCTCGTTCTCGCGTTCGCTGTCTCTCTCTCGACCCTCGCCACCTCTCTTGTCGCGTTTGCTGTTGCCGCGCTTCGCGACGACTATTTTTTACCGACCGAAAAAAAAGGACCACGCGAGTGTGATTACGGAGCAAAGAGAGAACACTGCTCGTGGAAGGGGATCGACGATTTGAAGTCTGTGTTTTTGTTTACTTAGAGGCGGACTGCCCACGCGACTCGGAAGGTCGAAGAAGAGGTGAAAAAACATCCCGTTCGAAGAGTACGTCGGTTGTTGACGTTTTTTCGCGAGCGGTGAGTACTACACTCGTTCATTCTTCTATTGACACGTTGACTACCATGGGGTTATCAATGGCTTACAAGATGAACCTAATTCTGCGATGGTTCCGAGTAAGACTCGGTCACGTAGACGCATCAAATGTTTATGTTTATGTAATCTATAACATGTATAGACACACACAACGAAAATCGTACATTTGCTTTTTTACTCTTTGCTAGAGAGTCTATTAGATAAACGTGACATTGGTGAACTTGTCGATGTGCTGTTTCTTTATGCATTTAGGAGGAACATTTAATTTTTGGGAGAATTTGAAAATTTTTGAATTTTGGGTGACATTGAAATTTAGGAATTTGGGTATTTAGACAATCGACGTAGGTATTTAGGGACCTTGAAGCCTGGGGATATAGGATTTCGAGGATTAGGGGTTTGGTATCTAGGGATTTGGGAATTTAGAGATTTAGGATGTAGGGATTTGGGGTCTAGGGATTTGGAATTTAAGGTCTTGGGATTTAGGGTTTCGAAGACTAGGGATTTGGAGATCTAGGGATTTGGGATCTAGGGATTTTGGGATTTTGGGATCTAGGGATGTAGGACTTAGGTTTTCGAGAACTAGGGATTTTGTGATCTAGGGATTTTGAAATCTAGGGATGTAGGATTTAGGTTTTCAAGAATTAAGGATTTTGGGATCTAGGGATTTGGCATTTAGGGATTTTAGGATTTAGGATTTTGGTGCATGCAGGGATTTGGAAATCTAAGGATTTTAAGTTCTAGGGATTTTATGCATGTAGGGACTTGAAGCTTAATTTGGTGATCTAGGGATTCATGGTCTGAAGATTCGTTACCTAGAAATTTGAGATCTACAGATTCGGAACCTAGGGATTCGAAATCTAGATTTTCGGTTCCTAGAGATTCGATATATAGAAATTTGGTACCTAGTGATCCGAAATTCAGAAATTTAAGATCTAGGGATTCAGTACCTAAAGTATAAAAAGAAAGAGTTTATAAGATTGAGTTTGTACGTAATAATATAGATATTAACTGACCAGAATTTTGACAAAGGTTTCATTGTTTTTTTGGAACGGTTAACCTGAAAGGGTTAACCGGAACGGGAAATCTTTAAGGAATCGCGTTTTTCCCGTCTGAATGGCGGATAAATTTGAATACGTCCCGATAGCTCGCGGAACGTATACCCTTTTATCACGCGAGCCAGAATTATTACTATGCGAATTTTTTATTATTCGGCCGACACCGGCGGCATCGTTGCTCACGTTTGTTTGTCACGCAAATGCTACGAATAGAGAATTACCGTAGAGCCATTGTGCTGTTAGGTTTCCGTGGTTCTATTCGTATCGCGGTGTACATTCACGCACTAAGCTTCGTGCATGGTAAACAGAATATCGGTCCATTTTATTCTGAATGAAGTGTCGTGCCGAACGCGTATCTCTGCGTAATCACTAACAATACAGACGACTCGTAAAACGCGTCATCTGAGATTCCGAACGTCAATGCGTTCTCGAAACCTCGTATCACTTACCGAAAAATTCAATGGAAATCGAAAGAGGTACCTTATTGGTCGTGATCGTGGAAGTTTTTTTTCTTTTCTCGACACCGCGAGAGAGATGATCGAAGACACTATCGATCGAGTCTCGTTATTTTCGAGCACTGTCATTGGTGTTTGTCACGCAAACGAGATGGACACGCGCGAACATTGAGCAAGCGTTACGTTGAAAGGGGGTTGATCGTCGGATGTTGTTTCAATGTGGAACTTTTGTCGGTTGTAAAAAAATATGTACTCATTGGTCAAGTATCATTAGGGATTCACTTTGTTAGAAATTGAATTTTTAATATTGTTGAAATTTTCACTTTGAATCGTGGAAGGTATTTACTATTATTAGTATTTACTATCTTAAAGATTGTTCTCTTACTAAATATTTATTCATTAACAAATTCGTTAATAAGTGCAGTTTTAACATAAATTATGTAAATAAAATTTTGTACAGTTGAATCTATACGATGATATGTACAAATCGATAAAGACCATGAAATTAATAGTATGACAACAAGAAAATGTGGTGGTCAAAAAAGGAGCAAATTAAATATAATTTCAAAAACTTTTTACTAAATATTCTACATTGTACTTGAAAGTCAACTAACGATAATAAGTATGAAAATGTAGTCTATTGAAACACATAAAAGAATTTGATATCGTGATTTAACCGTTCCAGCATATTATCTGACGATAATGTGAACTCGATCTATTGGCAGGTAAATAAAGAAAACTTAATGTGTCGTAAATTGAAGATGCAAATGATCGAATGATTATTGTTGAATACTCGAAGGCACGAATTATTAGCAGGAATTTGCATACAAGAGGAAGAAAGGATCGTGCGGGCCTTGTTCTTCTCATTTAAAATTTATAAACTTGGTAATATTCCAATAAATCTGCTCCTAGAATGAATAACAAATCCCCTTGATTCACTCGACGTTGTTTTCTTGAAACTCTGCTTGCAAATAATGACTCTGTTCTTGATATTTGTAATGTTCTAAGATAATAGGATGGCTGAATTTCTCTTGGATTAATTTTTTGCATTCAATGATTATGGTAAAATTGTTAAATCATTGAATTGCTAAAATCTTTGTGGTATAATTTGTTTTTAAAACGTGCAAGATTATTTTATTAAAATAATGTCTTTTTTATTAGAAACACAAAATTGTACTTTCTTTCCTTTTGCGATTATTACTGCTATTTTACTTGACATTTTTATATATTCTTTTGAAGTGATATTTCTCACGTCATCACATTGATGTATTTATTTAATGGATATAATGTGATATATTTATTTAATAGATACAATATGAAATTATATTTAATTTGTTCAGTCCATGTTTCTGTCTAAAACTACACTACACAATCAATGAAGTATAATCAAGTGAAATATTACTTCAAATATTTGTAGTGGTTTTGGTATGATGTTTACGTGCATCATTAACGTTAATTATTAATGGATCACTTATACGTATTTATCAGAGTCGTTGTAAGCATTTCTCGTTAGCATTCATCAATAAGGGAAAGAAATGTAATGGCGTTAAATTTGATAAGATCGTATGGAAAATTTAAGTCGAGTCGTCTCGGTAACTAGATGGAAAATATCATCGTGCTCGCGATCGTTAAATTCTCGTTGTTATTTATTGTTACATTAATAGAAAATATAATTCCGTAAAAAGGAGATAATAATAAGCACAAAATTACAGAAATTATTCAATCAACTTCGAACATTTAACTGAACAAGTATTGATTTATTTTCAATAACGGGTCTGACTTCAATTAAACTCGATGAGTATACGCTGTCTTTTGTTAAAAATTCGTTCGATGAAGTTCCGTTTAAGATATTAATAATCAACAAATGACACGAATAATTTATTCACAACGTTATTAATCGAGCAATAATTTCTTCGATCATTATCCAAATAATTAATGGAATATTCTTTTACATACCGTAATTTTGTTTCATTAAACGTAGAGAATTTTTCTCTCGGAAAATTTGATTTATCGAGTATGTGTTTAACGATAGCGTGCAATATTTCTATTTAAAGCACGGAATTGTAATTAGAAGAGACGAGGAATATTTTCGATAATATGCAGGTAATGAAATATGAAGTTTATTTACCTTTGACAACATACAAAAGTAGTATGCTACTTTATATAGCACAGAATTATTGCACTCGCGTTATTAAATATACATTACGATCTAGAGGCAAATATGAAGACTATAAATCAGTTCGTGAAACTACGCAGTCATGCTATAGAACGAGATTTATATTACCTATATAATATTGCTTTTAATAATATCCAATTCTTGTTAATTTCATCACTTTTTATACCTGTTTTCCTGACAAAACAGGTTGTTTAATCGCGGATACTGTAATTATTCGGACTTTTTACTATGCATGAATAATTAATCTGAATGTAATTATTTGCCTACGGTATCAGATAGAGGTAATATAAATTAGAAGCAAATCAAGCATTCGAAATTAAATATCGCATTTTCGTTTCACCATTGTCAGAGGGTAAGGTGACAAAAATTTGTCAAAACGCGAAAATTTTAACATAATTCTAATAATAGAGTACCGCTACGCCTGTCCGTTAAGCAAATGAAGAGCTCTATGAATAAATTATACCAAAAGAACTAGGCAAACGGATTCCAAGGAATTCCCTCAATTGCTGATCGCAACAAGTTTTACCAAATTTTTCGAATCGTTCACTTGAAATTGCGCGGTTGGACAACCGGGGTCGACAATAAAATTTTCATGTGCAATAAAATTGGCCAGCAATTTGCGTTTCCGCGAGTGGTTGATTCGCCGTTGCAATGGGCTCTGTTCTTTTTTAACGCGAAACAAACAAATGTGTACACGGTTATTTGTCGCAGTTTCCACGGTTTTGTTCGTTCGATCTTGGGTGAATTATTACGGTGGCAATTAAATTCGCGACCTTCGCATTCTTTTTCCGAATAGAATTTATTAACACGTTGACTGCTGCTTTGGTAATCTGAATTATTAAAGACACGGATAGTTAGTTTCTAAATTTAAACGGTGAATTTATTGCCTTGCGTTAGGATAATACTGGTGTTCAACATTTTTTAAGCGAAATTGGTCTCATAAAAACCGGAATGAAACGAAAAGTGAAATGGTAATTGAACACCGTTTGGACTTTGCCAAAAAATAAATTAGGGAAGATTTGAAAATTTAAGAATTAGACAAACGCAAATTATTACAAATGTTGCAAATTTGATAACCTAGAAATTGAAAAATTTGGTATGCATATATTAAAAATTTAAAAATTGGCAGTTTGCAAATTTGATAACTTAAAAACATAGAAATTTGGAAGTTTTCAAATTTAACGACTGAGAAACTTAACCCAAAGGAAGTCTACGTTGCACCAAAATGTACTAAAGCATATCTTAAGAATGAAAATAAGTATGGAAAGAGAATTCGCCCATTACGTTTAGCTTTGGGA